GAGTTTGAACCTAGTTTGATCTCCATGGTAACAGAAGAAGAGTTTGAGCCTAGTTAGATCACCATGGTAACAGAAGCTGAGTTTGAGCCTAGTTAGGTCACCATGGTAACAGAAGCTGTGTTTGATCACCATGGTAACAGAAACTGAGTGGGGTTTTTTTTCTTTCTTTCAACCTTTATTTAGACAGATAAATCACATTGAGCCTCCGAGACTCATTTACAAGTGAGACCTGTTTAGCCAGACAAAAAGTAGTGAAAGTGAACACATGTAGGATTTGGAGGCAAAAAAAATTCCTATCAAACTCTTTCTTCTTGGCTGAGAAGATAGACCCTGATATTGAAAAAACACCCTGCCCATAGAAGCACATGGTAACGTAGACATTACGCAGGGGGCAGGGCGAGACGACAAGGGAGTTGAGAGAGTCCAAGGATGCTCCCGGAGGCATTGTAGGAGTTCTAATAAGGATGGAATAATCAGCAATTCCCTCCGGTGAGATCCGCAAACACTCTCAAGGGGTATCGGGGAATGGCCAAGGACAACGCCAGTGAGAATCCAAGAGTCCTGAAATGATGACGCAATGTTTATTCAGCTGGTTCTCTCTGGTTGATCTGTGGACTTCCTCGGTGGGAGGGAGGAGGGCAGAGCGTCAGATTACAGAGCCTCCAGGTGAAATTAGATAAGGTGGCCTGCAAAGAAAGCCGAGGGAGCCAAATTCAGATAAAATCATTTGTTTTAAAGGCAGGCAGAACTTTACTGAATTTTATCTGCCTTGTGTCTTTGCTGGTCTCACGTAAATTCCGAAAGGTCCAAATTAAGTGGACACACCGCTAATCCGGGCCTGAGAATATTCCCCGAGATTTGATCCTTCCTGTCAGCAAGTCCTAGGGGCCGCATATGGCCTGCAATTCTCACAAATCACATCCAGTTTGAGATTCAGTCAGCTAAGCAATAGAGCCTGGGTGCTTGAGACACGGAGCAAACCTTCAGATAGGCGGCAGCCTAACCAGGCCCGATTAGCTGTGGCCATCTTCTTTGTATGTTGATAAACCAGGAACCAGACAATTCCAACAACAGGAAACCTGTTACCATAAATCCAATTATATATGCAATTTTGACGTCCTCGATCAACAGCAGAAATAAGACACATCACATTCCACTTCCTCCAGAGACATATCCAGCTGCATATGTGTCATCCAGGCAGTTCAGCTTGCCTGAAGGTTGTCTCAAAATTTTGTCCATTGCATTGAGAGACCAACTGACCAGATCCACAAAATTACAGTTCGGAAGATATGTAGAGAGGCTCAGAAGCAGTTTCACAGACAGAACAGAGCAGCAAAGCAAAGCGGAAGAGGAGAGGAGGGGAAAAGTGTCCGCCCTCGACAAGAGCAAGTGGTGAAATTTGAGCCTAGTTAGATCACCATGGTAACAGAGGCTGAGTTTGAGCTTAGTTAGATGAACAGAAACTGAGTTTAAGCCTAGTTAATCACCATAGTAACGGAGGCCGAGTTTGAGCCTAGTTAAATCACCATGGTAACACAAGCTGAGTTTGAGCCTAGTTAGATCACCATGGTGCGAGTTCTGCGATAGAGTTAAACTCAAAGCAGTCTGCTCCTCAGATAAATAGTGTTAAATTATAATTTTTGTATATGAATGTTTCTGTTCAGTGCCCTGAGATGACTTCTCTTGTGACTTGACGCTATATAATTAAACTGAATTGAAATGAATTAATCGTGATTACCAGTAATCTCATTAGTATAACAAAATTAAATTATGACTTAAAGATTTTTAGAACACTTTTAAGGTACTGTTTAATATAAAATGTTCAATACATTCAAAAGGCACTTTTTAACAGCAGTGTTCTCCTAGCAATTAAAGTATTACTAATAACAAACATGAACATTTAAAATATGAAACCAAAGCTATTCGACAGGGCAAAGTGTTTTCAGATTATTTTAGAGATAAAATAAATTCCTTCAAATCCAAAACCACAATCATAACAGATTAACAACAAATTCAAAATATATGTTTTTTCTGAAATGCTACAAAAAGAAGCCTTTTTAAATCAGGAGTATCAGGAGCAGTTTATTTCCTGATGCAGCTCAATAATCCGGGTAGATAAATCTAACAAGGTTAAGTCAGGTCTGAACAGATTCTTCTTTGTTGAAATGTTTTGTCTTTCATTCAAGAGACTTCTTCAGTCTGAGAAGATGCTAAAAACTCAGTCAAATGGCACTCATCAACCAGTTTCTGCTAGCCAGAACCAGTTTTCATATATTTGTATAAGGAGGACAATTATCCTGATGCATGCTCAATAATCCAGGTAGAAAAATCCAAAAAAGTTCAATCTGGTCCTCTGGGCATTCAAAAAAACAAAAAACAAAACAAAGCAAAAAAATATAGAAACGTTTCGTCTCTCATCCGAGAGACTTCCTCAGTCTGAGGTGCTGTATTCAGCTCAGTCTCTTA